AAAAAATCCCAAACTAAAATGATATCATTATTTGACCAATGCAAAGTGCTATTCATAAGCACTTCTCAGGTACTTATGCCTGGTTTTTAGCAATGAGGATTTTACAGCAAGCTAATAAGCATGAAATCCTAAATCCTTTAGCTGTCTATGGAAATAGGATTTAGACTCTCACATGGATTCAGGGGTTTTTTTCCTTTTTTTCAAGCAGTTTCATTAGCTGTGAGAGGTAGAGACCTGTAAGCACTGGGGTGAATACATTCACATTAATTTATGTTTGCAATAGCAGTTCAATTACACTCTTTGGTATGGACAAAAAAAAAACTAAAGAGAAAGCATGGCTATGCTGATACTCTTCCCAACAACAGGATGCAAAGACATTATTCATAAAGTGCCTGCACTGAAATAAAGCAGTATTTACAATATCTTAAGTAAATTCTAGTTCTAACCGCCTGTTTGTTCAGAAACAAAGATAGTTTTTCTGAGAGAGTGCAGTACCCTTCTACATCAAGAGAGCATCAAAGTCCCGTTTTCTGTGCAGTTCTTAACTTCATAAATCACAGAGTTGAATTTTGTCATTTAAAAAAACCAAACATTTAGGTGCATGTATGTGAGTACTAAAATACAACTCAGGATAGTTTTCGTCCTTCTTATGGAGGACAAAAATAGAAATATGTAATTCAAGGCACTAGTGCCACGAACAGAAATAGTTTGAAAACAATTTCTGGGCTTAAGAAGTTACATGAGCATTTTGTCACTGCAGGTAAAGCCTTCCTCTTTTCCCAGACTGCCTAACCAGAAGGAAAGGATATTTGTGGTCTCCTAAGCAAACATTCCAAGAGATAAAAATGGGCTCTTTCCATCAGCAAAGGAAATGGTCTGAGGCACAGGTTTAGGATCTGGACACAGCCAGGATGCTCATGCACTCAAGGATACTCAGGTCACTGATACAGAAAAAAACCCAAAAGTTTTGCCATAATCCAGATTGGTTTTTCACAAGGTACTGACAGTCTTTCCAGTATAAATTACTGCCTGGATTTTTGCTAAAGTCGCAATTTAAATGGTAAAAGTGATTTTACATGCAATATGTTTGAGAAGGCTTTGAAAAAGGGAGATGACAAAACCCACATACACCCAATACCAGGTTTGTGTGCAACATGACTGTAAAGTGTCAGCTCCTCTTCCTTGCAACTCTGCTTCCATCCTGAACACTACACAGGTTAAATCAGCAGTGTTCCATACTGGGGAGTGAAGGCCTTGAAGGGAAATCTGACTCTGTTCCCACCTGGACTAATTTAGGCTAGCAGCAGGATGTTACTCAAATAAAAGGGAGGAATTAAAACATCTGCAAACCTGCATTAGAAACTCATCTCAGCCTTTGGCAGGTTATGCATTGGCCAGTGCTTTCCTACTCTGCCCACATCAATTCCACCTCTGGGTATCATGATAACCATTGTCATTTTTTTCATTGTCATTGCACAAGTGCCAGTGCTGAGTAAAAGGAAATGTAGACACTTAAGGCATTCTAACAACTACTCCAGCCAAAGTTGCATGTTCAGAGAAGAGCCTGTATCCACATCACAGAAGAGCAGTGGAACTGGCATTTATCTGTGTACATTGTACATACACAGAGAATGCTTTCATGACAAGGTCTGTAGACTCAATCATCCATCACTGGTTACTATAACACCTCCATTTTTAAGAGACCATAGAATCACTGCTATAGTATGAATGTGTCCTTCAGTTTTTACAGTAAATCATCATGCTCTTATTTTTGTGATTCCCACTGAAATTTCCCAGCTGAAAGATGCCTCATGAGTTAGTGGTATGAGATGTTTTGAGCATGAATGCACTCATGAGGAAGTTCTTTTCCCAAAGATGGCTCCAATTGTTTCTCCATTATAAAAAATAATAAGAAACAGCATTAGTCTAAAAGCTCAGATGATACTTGTTAGCTCAGATTCTCCCAGCCCAATGAGGACTGTTGGCAGGGAATTGGTGGGGAATTTAACCACAGATGGTAGCCAGAAAATTTATTTGGTACAACAGAGTAATAGTGTGGCAACAGCCCAGTGCCTTGGAAAGGCCACAAAGCTTTTTCCCCTTGCACCATGTGACAATAAATAAATAAATAAATACAGTTCCATAAATAAGTTCCATACAGTGTTCTAGTTCTTTGAATACAACTCTTGCTAGAGTGTTCCCTGCCTTTGGACATGGCAAATTAAAGGTATTGAAATGTCACAGAAATGCAAAATTTGACTCAGCCCTGTGATGTGCTGGTGTGCAATGGATGACTAAAATCAGGCATCAGAAATGTACAAAAGAGAGAAGTGCATGAGAGAGAGCACAGGTAGGTATGTGTGTGTGCATAAATTACACCACAGGTAGGTATGGATGTGTGCATAAATTATACCACAGGTAGGTATGGATGTGTGCATAAATTATACCACAGGTAGGTGTGGATGTGTGCATAAATCACACCGCAATTCTTACACATTTCCAGCTTGGCATCACCAGCTTGGCATGAGTGCCTAAGCTTTAGGAGAAGAGGTTGCAGAAAACTTAGTGCAAATAAAAAACACCAAGTGTGTCCAAAAACTGGGAGTTGCAGGATACCCTTCCTCCCTTTGGGTCAGCCTTCTCACTACATGCTCGGCCTTCTGACTCACACAGGGGCTTCCATCAAAAACAGCTCTGCTTTTAAGCATCACTGATCTTGCCAGGGGGAATCAGCCTCACCCCACCTGGCCAAGGCAGGGAAGCTGTGAAAAACAGACTGACATGGGAAAGCTGTGAAAAACAGCCCCATTCACATGGGACTCAGAGGAGAGCTTCAGCCTCTTTCCATTTCGCATGGCAACTCCAAACCCAGGTCAGTGTTTGCTGCTTCCCATGGAAGTGGAAAGGAGGAAAAAGACCTTGGGACAGGAGAGGTAGAAGAGAGCATGAGCTCCAGACAGCCTTGCCCACAAGCAGCATCCTCTCTTTCAGAAGCAGAGAGAAGGTTTGGGCCCTGGTACCTCAGAGCAACTTGTTATCTTCTGCCTCGTGGTTCTTCAAACCCTCAGGCAACACCAGCAACAGTGGTCTCAACCCACCCCTCACTTCAGCCTAAGTCTGATTTGACATATTCATAAATATATTCTACAAAGCAGCATCATGGTTCCACACAAGGAGTAAGGCGTGCACTGAAGTAATTTGTGGCAAGAGACATCACTGCTGAGTGAAAGTGAGACTGCCTTTTACAGTTGGAAAAACAGTTGGGAAAACAGGCTAACTTACAAGACCCGAGCTCTTCTTCAGGGTATGAGAAAGGTCATTCCTTGGCAAGGGACTGAGGTACTTGCAAGAGTGTATCTCCTACTAGAGACAGAGTAATTTAGGTTGAAAAAGACCTCTAGGATCATCCAGTCAAACCATTAACCTGGCACTGCCAAGGCCACCACTAAACCATGTCCCCCAGTGCCACATCCACCTTTCCTTTAAACACACCCAGGGATGGTGACTACCACCACTTCCCTGGGCAGCCTGTTCCAATGCTTGACAACTCTTTCAGTGAAGAGACTTTTCTTAATATCCAAACTATTAGACCAAATGAATTTTTAAAAAGGCACTCTGACAGTCCTGATATCTGAATTTTGAATTGGCATTAATTAACTTGATCTCTGATTCCCTCTCCAGGAGTCCTCCTCTGATGTCAACTCCCAGATAAAATAAATTAAAAAAAAAAAAAAACCACTGCTGCAAAGCTTTCAGAGGAATTGCATTCTCTTGTGGGCAGAAATCATGCTGAAGAACAAGGCCTCTCTACAGAGAGCTGTGGCTATAAGCAGTGTTCAGCTGGGGCTCTAGGCAATGTTCACAGGGCTGGATTACTGCTTAGGGCCCATGGAGGGTTTTTTCTCTAAACCTATGAGAACATTTTGGCACTTAAATACAATGTCAGATTTTATGCCCTAAAATGCTTAATAATTGAGGGATTTGTCATGACATGAAATTCTGCTTCAATGAAATGCTTAAGATGGTACTTAACTAGGCATCAGAGACTCCCTAGAAGCCAACAGTAAATCTGCATGGTTGTGCTAACCCCAGGCTTGAGCTCTGATGTGGGAGAAGCCTAATGTCCTCTCTCGCCTCATTCTGATTTACCAGGTCATATAATCATGTGTGGTTTGCACTTCTGTTACAATAAATTCAGTCTCAACTCAAACACAGGTACCACAGGCAGTGTCAGCATATTCCCAAAAAATCTTCAGTCCAAACTTAGTTGTTTGCTTAAGTTTTCTGCTGATCTGGGGCCTTCTGTGCAATGGTACCTGGGGATAAATGCTTAATCCTAGCCCAGCTTTACTTCTCTGCCATGCAAATCCCACACTCCTCTGAGTGACTCTTCTTAATTATCAGAGCTACCTCTGATCTCAACAATCCACCTGATTTGTTGAAGCACTGGCCAAATAAAACTGAAAGCAACAACACAGTCACCAGTGAGCTTTGTGTAAACAGCAATTCTTCATCCTTTTCACAGCAAAATTTATCTGCCCTGGAACTCCTGCCCATGAGTGGGGAGAATGGACCCATTCAGCACTGAACTATCAATAAAATAACTGAGCTCTTTGAACTCCTTGCTATGTTTATATATAGAAACCTACAATGCAAATGCTTACAGTAATTTTGCACACCCTATATGAAATAAATATCACAAATAAATTCTAATATTCAAAACAGAATAGTGTACAATGTTAGGGACCAAGTTACATTAATAAATGCACAAGCATTAATACTATCTAGTCAGCTTAATTTCTTAGTATGCAAGCTTCAGCAATTTCTAGCTACAGTTCACTTCAGGAGTCATAATAAATGCTGCTCATGCCAAAATCTAAGAAGAAACAAAGCCACAACCAGAAAAAAATGTTCTCCTTCATCCTTCTATATTATACACAGTTTTGGACAGGTGCTATAATAATACACAGGTTTCATGGAATTCATTAACACTGTATCAAGTCTGGAACACAGGTCTCTATGTTTGAAATAAAATCAGAGCAGGAGCAACATGTTTGTCAGCACTGCATCCACACACAGCAAAAGCAGAGACAGCGAGAGCCCCCAAACCAGAGCTGCAGCTTCCCAGGATAAAAACACCACAAGGGGCAGCTCCACTGGCAAAAGGGAGGAGAGGGAGAGAGGGGGGACTGAATGCAGCTCCAGTTACATCTATTGTTGAAGAATGGTTTGAAAAAATAGCCTGAATGCTGTAGCCTGGTCTTGCCAGCTCAGTCCTCAGAAATGGCCCCTGTCCCAAAAGCCAGCGATGGCACGTGGGAGCTCAGCTGACAAGGGCAGGTTACAAATTTTGCCTGCACAGGACAGAAATTTTGCTGTGCCACAGGCACATAGAGCAGTTCATTCTCTTTATCTTAATATCAGTATTTCTGACAACAATTTCTCATGGGGGAAGTGAGTAATTCACAATTACGTTTCATTTCAGGAAAAGAAAAGATCTCACACACTCAATACCCTGACTCAACTTCAGCTCACATTACTGAATAATAAAATGTAGATCCTGCCCTGGAAATTTGCTTACACTTTAGATCATGCCACTTTTGTCATCTTGCAAAGAGGATCGTGAAGGGGATCTTCCTAGCAGCAGCTCCTTCTCATGGATCAGGCTGTCTAGCAGATCCTCCTGCCTGTAGTTGTGATAAACCTTCAGGAAAGCCAGGATGGTAATTGCCAGCCAGGTCAGCCAGGCAGCCCAGAGACCAAACTGGAGAAGGAAAGGAATCATAAAGAGGTCAGGACAGTATTGTGGAAACAAAGTCAGCTGTCCAGGTGATTATGCAAAATCCATGGAGTCATGCCAAATCCAGGGAGGTGCTGGGTTTTTCATACAAAGCAGTCACTTTTATGGCATATTTCATTCCTAAATGCAGTTATGCCTGAGCTGGGCATCTAGAAGCCAATGTTGGCAACAAAGACAAAAAACTGGCTCATGCCCAAGAGGCAGGGCTACCTTCAAGGAATGTTCCAGGCAGGCTAATGCCTCTGTCCATGTGGGACAACATAAGCTTTTGTAAGGCCTGTCATCCCTGCAAAATTAGTATGTGCTCATGTCCCAGTGTTCACTGGCTGATCATTGACTTGGAGCTAGAATAATCAATAGAAAGGTCTGACAGCCTTAGGGGTCTAATTCTCATGGATCCATCAGAAAAGAGCCCTATCTGAATGAATAAATCTTTGCTTATTTTCAATGGTCAATTTATACAGGTTAGGTGATCTCAGTCAAAGTCCAGGAAGGCAAAACTAGGAACCCCACAGTGTGGTGCAGGCCAGAAGTTATTTTGAACAGTAATGAGGAGATCCAGGACACCTGAGTGCTGCAACTTTTGCAGACCTGATCCTTTGGATGAACAATGAGTTTTCTGTCATGATGAACAAGATCAGTGGTAGGGAGAAGCTTTGACATATCTGTATTCAAAACTGTCTATTTTGAATTTAAAAGGCAAATGTGCCCATTCTGATTCAGCACTTACTGAAGTCTGTGGAAACATTCCCATTGATTTCTGAGAATGGTAGCTCAGCTCCAGCAATCCCAGGTCAATAAGCAAATGGCAAATTAACTGGAATAGAACCATGACTTAGTCTGACCTACCTGTGCAATAGCAAATTGGTCATAGAAAGCAGAGTTTTCCAAGTTCAGCTCAAGATCTATATCCTGCAATTCTTCACAGCTACCCAGAAAGGCATTTGGAAGGGAAAAACAAAAGAAAAACATTTAAAATATTTTAGGTAAACCAAATATAAAATGAAAACACATATTAAATGTATTTTGAACAGTCACAATGGCACATTATATTAAAGGATGATTAAGTTATTGCAATCATCAGGTTGTTTGCTGATCTTCTCTAAAACTAAGAATTGCTTTCTTTTACAAAAAAAAATCATGTAAGTGATAACACAAATCTTTCATAAGTGGAATTGTGATAGTTATTATGAACAGCATCCTTAAACCCTCTTTCCCACTGCCCCCTCACCTCCCACAGATTTGCCCCTGGCATCACCCCAGGTTGGTTGTTTCACCCCTCAATGAAACAAAGTGTATGATCCTCTGTTACCTTTTGACTTCATCAGGAAAAGCCTCAGAAGAAGGAATTGTGTTTTTGTTTCGGATGCTCCAGCAAGGAGACGATACTCTGATGGTAAGATAGGGGCTGCCTACAGATTTTACAAATAACTTGGACCATTATTGGTGTGAAAAATATCCCAGGATTTTGAGGTTGTCATTCTACCTCTTGGTTGATTTCTGCAGCCTCTTCTCTCTCCTTTTCAGTGCTGTCGGTCATCTCGGGTTCTTACCCGAATATTCGATTAGATGCTTTTGTAATTGAATTTTTAACCGAATATTCGAGTAATTCGATTAATCGTTGCAGCCCTAAACAGAACATTCACTATGGCATTTTACAACATATGACAATGTGCAGCAACATAAATGTATGCTTCAAGTAGTACATTTATTCAATATCATATGACATAAAATGTCACATTTTCCTCTCTTTTCATCATTATTTGTTTGACAGGAGCAAATCTTCCTCAACTTAGCATGTTCCCTATAAGGAGCATAAGCATTGTGGGATACAGGGGACCATTTTAGGAGCTGTACATTTTGTGACTGCAACAAAGCATCAGCCATCTGTACTTGGCACTTACAAAGTGCTTTCCATCCTGTGGCTCTCAGGGCATCCACAGCATCACTACAAGGCAAGGAACTCTACCCCAAATGTTTTGTCTGATGATGAGCTGTGGCACAGGCAGGATACATGACTTGCCTGGTGTCACACAGTGGGCTGGGGGCAGAACCAAGATTGCAAGCCAGGAATCCTGGCCCCCAGCCCCCTGCCCTGCTCACAAGGCCACACTCCCCCCATTCTTAGAAAAACTCTTAAGTCGAGCATTCCTTTGGAAACAAAAAAATTTAACACAATGGATTTGTTTTTCATGTGATCATGACCACAAAATATGATGGAAACACACTTTTCTTTGTGGGCTTCTAAATAAACAAACAAAAAGAAGTTTGATTTGCTATGTTTTGTTCCACATGAAAAAACTGGATTTTCATATTACAGATGCCTTCTCCCCGTTGCTCACCTTGCGTGTAATAACTACACTTTGTAACAGCACAGCTCAATTGTGCCTATTTGAAAAAAAAAATAAAAGGAATAAAATGTATTCTTCAATACTAACCTATTTGGCATGCTTCCTTTTTCAGTAATTGCATCACACCACATGTTAAATCCTACACTCACTATAGTGCTGGCAATAAATGTGATGAACACCACAAAGGCGCTGATCAGCAGATTCAGGAAGGCGTAAAAGAAAGAGCTGTAATAAAAGGGAAGAAAAATGTAACTCATAAACAGCTGAAACACAACATCAGCAGTCTCTGTAAGCAGCACAGAGTGGGCTCAAAGATATCAGTTTCCATTTAAAACACATCTTTAATTAACAACACCTAATACATTGAAACACTATGGGCTCGATTTTGAGTCACATTACCTTCACTTGCAAATGCTTTTGATTTTGATTTCTTTTTTAAACATAAGAAGATGTGGCTTTGTATAATGAGTGGTGATTGTTCATACACAATGTGGCTTTCATTAGCTGTAATGATTAAAATCACCATTGTTAAAATAAATGTCATTAGCTCAAATTATGTAGCAACTGCAGCTAAAATTATTTCATTACTTAAGTGATAATTGGGACAAAAATTGCTTAGAAGAGGGAAACGAAAAATAAAAAACACAGAACTGATAGCTATAATCACTCTAAGCAATGTAACACAAGGTACTGCCATCATAGGACACGAATCTCAGTTTTATGGGCAATTTGCAGAGCAGGCCAGATTCTCCCAGGATTTCTCTGGCTTTGGTGTCAGTATGCTGTGTCTGCCAGCAGAATATCAACTTATCATCTCAGCCCCATTAAATCTGCCCCAGCAGCAGGGCCTGCCCTGCGCACGTGCAGTGTTTGGACTGGGATGGGTGGGATGCTTACAGATTTCCCATAAAGCCATGGAATCACTCTCTTATCTTCACTCTTTAACTCTTCACCTGAATTTTAGCTGTGAAAAGTTTCTAATCCCAGTCACCTGGCAAAGCCCTTCTCTACTTGAAACTTCTCTAAGTGGCTGTTTAGAATAGGACACCTTGGAATGTGACATTATGTAAAAACTGGACATCTGCTCCAGGTTGGGGAAAGACTGGCAGCTCCAGGAGGCAGGTCAACCTATTCAGTAAAGGTGAATATGACAAATTTCTCACCAGTGCCACTCATTGTGCTGGTGATAGAATGAATCTACTTATCCCAGAGAAGAAAAAAAACCTCAGTCTCTTCTTTTCCCTGGTTGCTCATCAAATGAAAAGCCAAGAGGCTTTTTAAATGAGTGCCTGAGTCCTGGAAGGTTCTGGGCTGGACAATCCTAATTTCTATAGGTTATACATGATACACTTGTGACCTCAGGAGAGCTTCTTTAAAATGAGATGAGGAAGCAATTATCAGCAGAGTTAGGATGTTTGCTCTGGGCTGATGAGGCCCTAGAGGGACTGTCTAGGCTCTCTCCAAAGTAACAGTTGTTCCACCCCAAGACTGATAGAAAAGTGAAATAAACCACCCTATAGACTGTAATGGGTGCCGGATGCCAGGACACCTGACTTCTGGATGAACAATAAGCTGAATCCTGCTCTGGCTTAGCTGGGCTTGGTGAAGTAGATCAGCTCAGCTCTGCTGTGTGCTGGGGTCAGCCACACAGTGAGAGCTGCTGTGAGATTCCAGAATTCTGCATGTTCTCTGCCCTGACTTCACACCTAGCCTGGATTTCATCCCAAGCATTGCTGAAGTCAGGTCATATCCTCTGTGTGCACCTTAGCATAGAATGCTGGCCTGGGAGGCAGAAAAGACTTGAGCTGTTCACACAGAATAAAACAGAGTTGTTTTAAAACAGAAGTGGCACCAGAATTAGTAACAGCTCTAAAGAAGGAGCAGTTACCAGGACTATTCAGTGGGTCATCAGAGCCCAGGATCTGCAGTTCTCCCTCTGTTTCCTACCCTGCAGCAAGAGAGGTTCCATGGTCCAGGATCTGACTTTCCACTGACAAAGCAGGGCCCAGCCTTGCACCTGATTTGCATCTGGCAAGAAAAACCATCACCAGGGCCAGGGCATCCTGACATTCTGCTTATTTGGATCTCTAGATTACCTGATTTTTTCCTCCTTAGATTAGAACTTCAAGCTATGCATTGCAGATTGAGTGAGTGCCCTTTAATAATGAATGTTTACACCTGAAGTTGCTTTGCAATCCTAGCAATGAAGTATCTGAGTTGTTCCTCTACCCCTCAGCTGAGCTGAAGAGCCCCAGGCTGCTGAGGCAAGGGGTGCTCAGACTCTTTTAAGGTTTTTTAGCAGTCATAACTGCTAGAAAATAATCTGTGAGCAATCATTCAAAGCCATTGGACATGGAAGATGCAAAGGGTGCTAACTAACCCTGACTGCCTTGGCTGGCCCAGGAGCAGTGATCCTCCTCGACAGGATCATCAGTTATGGCATTCTGACTCTTCCTCAACTACCTCTAATCAGAACAGACAATTATCATGGGTGGTGAGGAGCTCACATTTATCTCTCCATCCAAACAGAAATGGTTTTGCACCCATTTGAACCATTAAAAAATGGCTGACTAAAATCAGGACAGCATGAGCCTGCCTGCTTTTCATATGGTGGCTGATGTGGAGCGGGACAGACTTTCCTTCTTACCAAGAAAATGCTGTTCCCAAGCATCTTGCCATGTTGTACCATCCTGTGGCCTTGTGTGGATATCTCATTATCCCAACTTGCTTTGTCTTTGTTCCCCATCACTCCACAGCCCTCTGCCTTTCTTGCCTGGAGCAGATTTGAACAGTGCTATGCAACTCCCAAAGGACCCTGAAGGAGCTCCTAAAGGGACACTTTTCAGGGGCCTGCCCAACAGTTTTGAAGATAAAAGCCACTTTTGGAAGCAGGCCAAACATCTAATCCAAATGTCACCATAACAGGGTTTTCACTGCTGGTTTCTTCTAAAAATTAGCTACCACTGACTGCAAAGCACTGAGATTCAATTAACCCTCTGCAGATATTGGATCACCTGAGGAAGCTGAATTCATAGATATTAAGAACTCTGTGGTTGTATTTAGTGTAAGGTATGTTTTAATATGGAATAAGTTTCTGGTCCTCACTTACTGCAGCATGTTTGAGTATTAGACAGGTTGAGAGTGGTTGGAAAGAGCCAGAAAGACAACACTGCTACCCAGTCACCAGGGTTACCAAGCCCAGATGTAACAGCCCCTTAACTCAAGAAACCTCTAGTCCAAATAGATCGGGATGGGAATGATTAACCCTTGGCATGGTTCCTAAACCATGGGAAAAATATTTTCCTAGTTTAGACAGGCACCAATGCATTGTCCAGCCCTGGCCCTGTAGCACCTGGGTTACCTGCACCAGGGTCTCTGCCCTCTCAAACATCACAGTGCTCCTGAGCTGCTGCCTGGCCCACCAAGCCTCTGAGTACCCCTGCTGGGGTGGGATGCTGTGGAATCCTTCCCCACACTGCTGCAGGATTGTCCCTTGGTTTGTGGGACACAGGAGCCAGCCCTCAGTGCCACCCTGAGCTGCTGCAGGAGGGGATTGTCCCTTGGCTGTGTGACACAGGAGCCAGCCCTCAGTGCCACCCTAAGCTGCTGCAGGAGCTCTCAGCACTGCTCTCATGCTGTAACCAAGCAATAGTTGTTGTCTGCAGTAGCTGCCATGTACACAGCAAAAGCAGCACCAAAATGAGAGGGGAGAGCGCAAAATGAGAGGGGAGGCACCAACTTCTCCCTCATGGCCCCCCACACACAACCACGTTGTTTCAAGGTTTTTCACACACCCAGGGCCCACCTGGGAGGCCTCCTTTGGCACGGGTGTGTTGTGGGACCGTGGTCAAGAGGCCCCTGCAAGCCTCAGCCTCCAGCATCACCCCACAGCCCCCAAATCCTCCCATGCCCACTCCCCACAGCCCCCAAATCCTCCCAGGCCCACTCCCCACAGCCCCCAAATCCTCCCAGGCCCACTGCAGCTGGGTGCCCACACTGGACTGCCAAAGGGCAGTGGGGGCACAGCAGTGGGTCCGACACCTCACCCCATGGGAGCATCCCATGGTGAAGGCCCTGGACACGGCTGGGGGAGTGCCTGGTGTGTGACAGACAGACAGACAGACACGGGTGATACACCAGCTCTCCCCAAACCCCTCTGGGGAGCCTGATGACCTGGATGGTGAAAACCCCAGAGCTTCACCCCCGGGCTGCTCCCACATGCCCCAGGCTGTGGCAGGGACGGGCTGATGATCCCCAGGGATACTCACTCCTCGTGCCCTTTGCAGAGGAAGAAGAGGGTCCTCCAGGCCTGCACTGTGGCCAGCAGCAGGGACAGGAGCCCGGTGAAGATGCTGAAGCGGCAGGCGGCCTCGGGCCCCCACTCCTGCACCGTGAAGCGCTGCCGCTCCACCGTCAGGTTGGCGTTGAGCCACATGCCCTCGGTGAAGAGCAGGCAGCGGCCGTGGAAGTCGTTGCCATTCTCGGAGAGTGGCACCACCACGATGAAGCTGAAGAGGAAGGCCAGGAAATAGCAGATGCACTGAGCGAAGAGGAAATTGCTGAGCGCCATGTCCGCGGCTCTGCGCAGGCAGAGGGAGGAGGGAAGGGTGGAGAGAGGGATGGAGGAGGAGGGATGCAGGAGGGAGGGGTGGAAAGAGGGATGCAGGAGGGAGGGATGCAGGAGGAGGGATACACGCGGGACCGATGTAGGAGGGAGGGATGCAGGAGGGAGGAGTGGAGAGAGGGATGCTGGAGGAGGGATGCAGGAAGGAGGGATGCAGGAGGAAGCGATGTGAGGTGGGAAGCAGGGAGGATGGAGGGATGGAGGGAGGAAGGCAGGCTGCAGCAGTAGGCGGTGGGGAGGGAAGGAGGGAGGGAGGATGCGCAGTGTAATGCAATGGATTGCGGTGCGGTCCGATGCCTCCTCCGGACACGGCTGCTCCCTCGCCCTCAGCCCGAGCTGCCCCTGTGAATGGTTTCGGGGCTTGGAGGGGAAGAGGGGAGAGGAGAGAGGAGCAGCTGTTGTGCTTTCTCTTCGGGAAAATCTGGCTGTCACTACCCTCTGGCGCCCAGGGGGTTAAATCAGTCCGTGCGTCTCCAGCAGGGCCGGGACCGTCAGTGGGGGATCCCCCAAATGACACAGGACACTGATGTCACTGATGTCAACACCCTGTTGATTGCCATCACACACACACAAATACCCCAAACCAGCTGACTGGCCTCATCCTAGCTGCTGGATCCCAGGAAATTTCGACCCAAGTTTGTAAAAATCTGGCCAGCAGCCTCAGAGGGCGGCAATAATAGACAGGGTGCACAGCCACTCCATCCAGCCCCTACAGACCCAGTGGGTTTGTTCCTAACCCAGGCTGTCACACCCCTACCAAGCTATTGCAAGGGGAGCAAAGGCTCACCCGAACTGGAATAACGTTTCTTGAGCCTTGGTGTCATTTAGGGGCTGCCTGGGGTTGGGATCAGCTATGTTACCCCCTGGCTGGCAGGGGGAGCAGGGCTGAAAGAAAAAAGCCTTAAGCAGGTTCCTGCTGGACATCAAGCTGAGAACAGAGCAGCACAAGAAGGGAACATTGCTGTCCAATACACGGCAGGAACAGATGGCATTTCATTCCTGGGGCCGAGCAGCTGCCTGCCCCATACCATGCTTGGGAAGACACCAGAGCTGCCCCTCTGGTGTAGGGCCTAAAACTGCAAGGCCAGGATGCCAGAAAGCAAAGGGCATCAAAAAGGGGAATGTGAGTTGTGCTCAGCTCACTCTGGCACAAAAATCCCAATTAAACTGTCCTCAAGTTATAGTTTCCCCACAATCCCCACATTTTCCCATCTTGGCATGAATCCTCTCTCCAGCACAAGACATCACAATTAATGTCCAGTTCCAGGTAAAGTAATTTCCTAATCTAATTTCCCAGCCACATCCAGTCTGAGATCAGCTGCAGGTCTCAAATCACTGCTCAATCCCAGGGCTGTTTATGCTCATTTTATCACTGTGCCACTTCCCAGGCAGTGTTTAGAGAAGCAGATGAGGGACAGAGACCCCAAACATAGTGCACATGGGAATTCAGGCTGGTGTTTCCATTGGGCAACCAAAAAACTATTTCTGTGTGCTGGTAAGAGGTTACAGATACAGTCCTGATACAGAGGAGGGCACTGGGGGAATTCTCAGAAAAGACATTAATTCACAGCTTCATTACAAATAATTTGCCATGCATATTATCTTGAAATCTCACTCTATCTGTGCAGGGAAAGCATTTCTTTGTGAATGCCACATCTCTTCAATAAAAAATTTTTTCATTACAAATGAAATGTGTCAGGCCAGTTTTCTGATCCTTACCCAGCTCTGATCATCAAAAATTGTATTTCAGTTTTGTAAGATGAGTTATAAAGCACTGACCTGGCCCTGTGGGGATAGATGTGTGCTTCTAACAGAAAAGATATTTCAGTCTATTGGTAAGGAGGAAAGTTTATTGCTCTTAACCTTGCTTCCAAGAAGTGCTTGGTTCCCAAAGGGTTTTATCCTTTACCTGTAAAGAAATCAGACCTGGATTGAGGTGGGAAACTCTTTCCTTTGAAATGTGACACATCAGATTTGCCAGATAATGTTTGCTGAACTTACCTTGGGAGGTCAGCACCAGCATAAAAGCCCAGTTACTGCTTACACTGGAGCCCAGAGAAGGGGCCAGCAGGTGCCAAGGGCTCTTTGCCTGGGGCAAGCCCCGTGCTCAGATCTTGCCAGCAGCAGCCACAGGGCTCTGCTGCACCAGGGTGCTTGCACAGGGGAATGTGGGGCCACTGCTAGAGCAGATAAAGTTCTCTTGGCTGATGAACTAACTCAAGAGAGCATTTATTGGAGAGTTTCAGAAAGCACAGCCAGGCATTTACAAATGTGAGCAGACATGTAAAACAGCTGCACTTAGCAGGCTGACAGCTACTGGAGCTTGGTCTTAAGCAGTGAGCACACACTGGAGTGAGCGAAGGGATGGAGATAAAACCTGTCAGCCTTCACTTTGGAGCTGCCTCTCATGTAAATCCTAAAAAAAATCCTGCTAGGCAGGAATTGGTTTCAGAAACATGGAGTTATTTCAGTGGAGTAAATTTGATAGGCTTACTTTTCTCAGCATGGTGAAACTGAGGGAGAAAGGCAAGGTGAATGATGATTCATTCATTCATTCTTTTATCACAGGGAATGGAGAACATGAGATATACTCGTCACAGACATGTTTTATGAAAAATCCTTTCCTTAGGATTTTTTCTCCTGAGAAGCTGAGAGGCCTCAAGAACAAAATGTAAACAATGATTATCTGCTGCTGTGGAATGCAACAAGTAGATCTTTGATTGGTCTCATGTAGTTGTTTTTAATTAATAGCCAATCACAGTCCAGCTGTCTCAGACTCGCTGGTCAGTCACAAGATTTTATGATCATCCCATTCTTTTCCTCTCAAGCCTTCTGATGAAGTTCTTTCTTCTATTCTTTTAATATAGTTTTAATGTAATATATATATCATAAAATAATAAATCAGCCTTCTGAAACATGGAGTCGAATTCTCATCTCTTCCCTAGTCCTGAGACCCCTACAAACATCACCACATATACTAGCCAAGAAGAAACTCTGAAACACAGGAAAAGATCCACATTTTTCTCACTTCATATAATTGTTCCATGGCACACATCATGGGACAATGCAGAGGGCAAAAAATAAATGCTGGTGCCAAAAGATATTAGATAAATAAATGGTAAAAAGAGTTCCATAAAGACCTGAGAAATGCAGAGCTGGGGGATGTCGCAGAAATCTTTTCACTAAAAATCCTTTCTTAGGATTTTTTCCCTTCTGAGGAGCTGAGGCCTCAGAAATAAAATGTAAACAGTGGTTATCTGCTGCTGTGGAATGCAACAGGTGCATCTGTGATTGGTCTCCTGTGGATTTTTGGATTTGGTGACCAGTCACGGCAGAGCTGGCTCTCGCTCTCTGTCCGAGCCAGCTGCCTTTGTTATCATCTTTTCTATTCTATGCTTAGCAAGCCTTCTGAGAGAAAACCTTTCCTTCTATTCTTTTTAGTTAGTTATAATGTAATGTATATATCATAAAATAATAAATCAAGCCTTTTGAACATGGAGTCAACATTCTCTCCCCTATCCAAGAACCCCTGTGACCACTGTCACAGGGGAACTGAACTTCAGCTCAGGATTCCCTCACAGCAGGTTGCTGGGAAGGTGGAGTCACAAAATGATCCCTCTGCATCTCCAGCATCCTCTATTCTTCCCTAAAGCAGGCAGCTGCTCCTGGCAGCCTTGGAGATGGGATACCCAGGGAGATCATGCCTTAGTCTGACCCCCTTTGGCATTTCAGGATCTCATTACAATGCTGGCAGCACCAGCCTGGTGTCTCAGCTTCCCATCCAAGTGGGGAGAGCTGTTCCCTCAAAGCATCCCACACACCCTGGCTCCTGTGAATGCCCTCAGGAGGGACCTGCCCCAGAGCAGACACTGCAGGAGGCAGTGGGGCAGTTCTTGCAGCTGCACAGCACTGGGAGAAGAGATGGGCATGATGAGAGGAGGCTGCACGTTCCCCCAGCTCTGGTGGTGCCACCACAGGAAGAAGAGTTCAGATGTGTTCCTGCTGCAGCCCCCCATGAACATCCCCCTGATTGCATCCAGTTCTGGGCCCCTCAGTTTAGGAGGGATGTTGAGATGCTTGAGTGTGTCCAAAGGAGAGCAATGAAGCTGGTGAGGGGCTTGGAGCACAAGCCATATGAAGAACGACTGAGGGAGCTGGGGTTGTTCAGCCTGGAGAAAAGGAGACTCAGGGGTGGCCTTATCACCCTCTTCACCTTCCTGAAGGGTGGCTGTGGTGAGCTGGGTCTCTTTCTCCAGGCAACAACAGACAGAACAAGAGGACACAGTCTCCAGCTGCACCAGGGGAGATACAGGCTAGAATTAAGGAGGAAGTTTTTCACAGAAAGAGTGGTCAAATACTGGAATCATCTACCCAGGGAGGTGGTGGAGTCACCATCCCTCGATGTGTTTAAAAAAAGACTGGATGTGGCACTTGGTGCCATGATCTAGTTGAGGTGTTAGAACATGGGTTGGACTTGATGATCCTAAAGGTCTCTTCCAACCTAGAAATTCTGTGATTCTGTGATCCACCTGACCACAGCATCCCCTCTCACTGTTGCCGGGCTTGCAAGGATTCCTCAGGGGTGAAGAGATAGACGAGAATCTTGACTCCATGATCGGAAGACTGGATTTATTAATTTATTATATATGTTACATTAAGACTATACTAAAAGGAATAGAGAGAGAAGTTCAGAAGCTGCTAAGCTAAGAATAGAAAAGGAATCAATCAACAAAGGAGCTCTCTCTGATTCTCTCAGAGAGAGCTTGGTCTTTGATTGGCCCTTAGTTGTACATATGCAACATGGGTCAATCAGAGGTGCACCTGTTGCATTTCACAGCAGCAGATAACCACTGTTTACATTCTTTCTCTGGGGCCTCAGCTTCCCAGAAGAGGGAAAAATCCTAAAGAAAGGCTTTTTCACAAAAGATGTCTGTGACACTCCCACCACAGCACAGAGAGGTCTCACCTGCTCTGGGCACCCCCCCAGGCCTGCTGAACAGGAGCTGAACCCCAGGAGGATCTTGTTCTGACAGGGGGCTGACGATGGCTTGCTCAGCATCAGGGAGGGTGAAGTTCAAAGTTTGTAAATCTTATTTCTCTGGGAAAAAAAAGAAAAACCACAAAAATAAAATGCAATGCACGACCAACTGCCATGGTACCGCGG